GTAGGTCTACTTGATATGCGTTTATTATTAGTTTTTACTTTTTGTTTTGTCAGGGTCAAATTGAGACAAGGTTCGCTTCTATTCTTGATCCTAATTAATTAATTTTAATGTTGTCCACTTTATTTATCATTTGATTATTTGATTAATTAATTGAATAAATGTTAATTGAATTGAATTGATTAGTCGGGGGAAATAAATTATTACACATAAGAATATCTGGCTCTTTACTGAGAACATTCATTCCTAATAACATTGGAGCATTTTGCTCTCTTACTACTACTATTCCACAACCTGTAATAAGTTGACTGCCAATTACTACATCAGATACAAAATACCCAATATATGGTATTGGAGACCCATTTGCAGAACTTATTTTTAGAAACGATTGATTCTCTAACATTACACTACTAAAATTATCATTAAACAAATCTTCTGTAATGGTACTAATTTGCGACCCAGTGTCAATAATAGCCTTAACTGATTTTCCAGTTCCTGGGAATGTAACAAAAACACTGGGCAATTTCCGATTAATTTCTCATTCTTAATAAATGAGCCTTCCCTTCTACTACCACTCAACTGCTGGCCGTACAGACAAGGGTACTTAGTTTCCCGATATCTGGAGGCCTTTTATCCCTATATTGTCACCATGGACATTTCTACTAGAACCATACTGTCTATAGCTGTTGCCACCAGGGACATTCCTACTTGGTCCATTAAATGCCTGCCCATAGTTCGTACTCATCGATTCCATTCTTCGTAGTCTATCAGAGATGTTTTTTATTTCACTCAACATTTGAGAGTCGTCCTTAGCAGATCTTCCAGCACGGTTGTTTTCTTCCATATCCAATTCAATGGCAAAGTCTCGCAGCTCAAAGAAAGTCATACTGGGAGTGCAGCGCAGTTCCCTCCTGATTTTTCTCTTAAGAGAAGAATCTTTTAGTCCTTCCTCAAACTGTTCTTTTATTATTAATTCCGGTGATCTTCTCAAGCTGCCTAAGAAGACTGGATGCAAAGCCAGTCACACTTTGATCTCCATTCTGTTTGCAGACTGTGACCTCCTGCATTAGGTGCCTAATGTTATTCGTTCTTTAAATGCACCATTTAGCACCTGAAGGAATTCTTTCGGACACTCTGTTGAAGCCTCCGGGCGGTGTCGCATCTCTAGTTTGGCAGCACCCTCTAGGTGTGACTTAATAAATTGAACAGCTCGCACACCAGAAAGTCTTCTGAGTTTGATAGAATGTAGTACATCATCAGCAAACACACGAACTGGGTAACTAGAGTACTCACCACTGAACTTCTCTACATTCTCCGATGGCATGATTATTGTTACTTTGTCGTTTGCGGTCGGAGTGGTTGGGGTTGTTATTAAAAATATCTCATCATCATCGCCGTCCTCATTCAAAATCGGTGGTGGTTGCTGTTTTTTCTTCCCTTTTTTCGACATGGTGGCGGTGTTGCTTATTGACGCACCGTCCTTTTACAGATCTATTGCGTATCCCACTTCTGACACCAACTGTAGTGGTCCTGGCTGACACAAAATAAATTGCAGCAGACACATACAAATTTGGGGATGCGTTGCAATATTTTATTAGCAACTTGCAATCAATCACAGTAAAGAAAAAGGACGGTGGCCAAATCCACCTGCAATAAACAAATGAAAACTTTCTATTAACATCAATAACAATCAAGCAAAATAGCGCCCTCATCATCATGAATAACATTATCCATCCTAGTACATCAAACATAACAAAACTCAAATTGTCCCTACCCTATAGGGTTAGCATAATGAGCCTAAACGAACATTCATTCTTTTATAGAGTAGGCCTAGTATGTGCAGCCTGTTAGGGTTCTACACAAAAAACAATCAATTCACATTTTCGTAGACTACGTGGGAACAATTAAATCATTACTACTCAATTGAGTTATAGCATAATTACAGTACTACCGTTACAATCCCTTCAAGTGCTCAACATCCTATTTGCGTAGCATAAGCCTATTCTATTTGCGCAGCATAAGCCTATTCTATTAGTATAAATTGTGTAATCATGCACAACCATTCATATCATATAATTTATAAAACAACTATAAGTATAACGGGAGTCACTAAATATCACAAACAAGATGGCAAATTTACTTAGTGATACAGTGATACGGTAGTATCTACAACACTATCATTATGAATAGATGTATAAATGTAGCATATCAAAACTAGGTCAGTCAACGACCGAGCGCCTTCATTCATTGTGGTGAAATGTAATACTGTACTGTACTGTACTATCTTTAAGACAGTGTGGGAAGAACATTGTCATCTAGCCTAGCCCTCTAGCAACGTAACCATTTGCCTTAAATATCACACGTAAATGTACAGCAACCATTATGATATCTCATCTAATATTTGCTACATAACATAATTAATATAATATCATCATCTCAGAATAAAACTTCAACTTACACATGAAAAATAAATGAATCTTGAAGATCGGTCCAACGAATTATGTTGACAGTACCAATTTTTGTGACCAACTGAGATACCGCAGGAAAATATTGCCGCAAGCAACTAAGAATGTTACCCAATTTATACAGCAAAACCCTTACACCCCCCCCCCCAGTTTTAAACGTTATATATATATTTTTCTCAATTTTTTTTAAAACAAAACTCTATTCCTCACACAACGCCTCCAACTTCTGCAACCGTCGACTCTTTCGGACACCACTTGTTGACGGAATGTCTTCCTCATCAATATTGTCTGTCACTTGGGTAATCTCATCACTAAACTTCTTTACAACCTCCGATGGCATGATTATTGTTACTTTGTCGTTTGCGGTCTGCGTGGTGGGGGTTGTTGGTACGAACATCTCATCATCATCGCCGTTTTCATTCAACATCGGTGGTAGTTGCTGTTTTTTCTTCCCTTTTTTCGACATGGTGGCGGTGTTGCTTATTGACACACGGTCCTTTTAATGTTCTATTGCGTATCCCACTTCTGACACCAAATGTAGTGGTCCTGGCTGACACAATATAAATTGCAGCAGAGACATACAAATTTGGGGATCCGTTGCAATATTTTATTAGCAACTCGCAATCAATCACAGTAAAGAAAAAGGATGGTGGCCAAATCCACCTGCAATAAACAAATGAAAACTTTTTATTAACATCACTATAACAGTTAAGCAAAATAGCGCCCTCATCGTCATGAATATCTTTATCCATCCTAGTACATCACACATAACAAAACTCAAATTGTCCCTACCCTATAGGGTTAGCATAATGAGCCTGTTGTGTAATGTGTAGGGTTAACTGTTGTGATTTTGGTCAACGATGAGGGCGCCAGTGCAAACAAACGCAAACTAAATATACATCAATGCAGTCAGTATCGCTTTTATTAATCTGCAAACTCTGTTTAGTCTGGTGACTAAAGAAATACAAATATAACAATCAATAACAATGATTCGCTTAACCATGAACAACAACAATGATAAAAATGGCATCAATATTGTTGACTGATAATCGTCTCAATATCATACAGTACAATCGTAATCAACGATAATGATTTAACCTAAATGTTAAACTATAATTCAATGGCGAGACACAAGTAACAGTACATGACTAAATCGTCATCCGTAAATGCTAATATTAGAAACACAGTACATGAGTTCACAGTAAACGTTCAAATCTTACATGAATTATGGCGCAACAAACTCGTGATCAACAACCCTTCAATTCAATCAATGATCTCATATTCTCGCTCCTATAAGTTGACTGTAAAGCAAGTATCAGAATACATAATGTTAATAACTTTATTACTACAACAATGATTACTTTATTTACTACTGAGTTTACATATCAAAGATTATAATCGCCAAATTAATCATGAAACATAGTGAATAGTGGGAATTATATGGGCGCAGCCATATTGTTTTGACACGTGACCTAATTGTTATAACCTTTCTACATCGTTTGACCTCGTAAGAAACTTGAGATACAGTATAAGAAACTTGAGAATACAACGTGGTTCCACTGAACCTGGTCAGCCAGAGCTCAGTCTAACTTTCAAACTCAAATAATTATCTTGAATTATCATTAAAGATTCTAAAGTTTACCGATAAATGATATTGAAAGATTAATTAAACTAACAGAAATAACAAATACATAAAAACATACCAAGTACGCAACTTTCTACCAACATAACTGTGAGCAGCAGCGAAGAAGGATACCTTCTCTTCGAACTTCATACTGCTACTGGCGCGCTTAACAAAGACAATGTGTAGCGCCGCCAACGTTAATGTACTACTTATCTAAGTTCGTTTACAGAGCCTATACGAACATTAATTCTTTTATACAGTTTTATGTGCAGACTGTTAGGGTTCTACACACAGAACAATCAATTTACATTTTCTTAGACTACGTGGGAACAATTAAATCATTTTTATTAAGTTATAGCATAATTACAGTACTACCGTTAAAATCCATTCAAGTACTCATACATCCTATTTGCGCAGCATAAACCTATTTTACTTGCGCAGCATAAGCATATTCTATTAGTATAAATTGTGTAATCATGCACAACCATTCATATCATAATTTAATATTTATAATTTAACAACTATAAGTATAACAGGAGTCACTAAATATCACAAACAAGATGGCATAGTTACATTGTGATACAGTGATACGGTATCTACAACACTAGCATTATGAATAGATGCATAAATGTAGCATATCAAAACTAGGTCAGTCAACGACCGAGCGCCTTCATTCATTGAGGTGAAATGTAATACTGTATTGTACTGTACTATCTTTAAGACAGTGTGGGAAGCACATTTTCATCTAGCCTAGCCCTATAGCAACGTAACAATAAATATCACACGTAAATGTACAGCAACCATTATGATATCTCATCTTATATTTGCTCATAACATAATTAATATAATCATCATCTCAGAATAAAACTTCAACTTACAAATGAAAAATAAATGAATCTTGAAGATCGGTCCAACGAATTATGTTGACAGTACCAATTTTTGTGACCCACTGAGATACCGCTGGAAAATATTGCCGCAAGCAACTAAGAATGTTACCCAATTTATACAGCAAAACCCTTACACCCCCCCCCCCCAGTTTTAAACGTAGGGCGTCCCCACACTACAAAATATAATGAAATTTTCGTAATATAATCTATAGCAAAATAATCAATAATGTGCTAACAGTTACAGTTAATGGTGGAACCTTATTTCGATTACCTTACACTGTCATTAATGGGTTTCTCTATATATTTTTAAATTAGTATATAGTATATATATATATTTTTCTCAATTTATTTTTAAACAAAACTCTATTCCTCACACAACGCCTCAAACTTCTGCAACCGTCGACTCTTTCGGACACCACTTGTAGACGGAATGTCTTCCTCATCACTATTGTCTGTCACTTGGGCAATCTCATCACTGAACTTCTTTACAATCTCCGATGGCATGATTATTTTTACTTTGTCGTTTGCGGTCTGCGTGGTAGGGGTTGTTGGTACGAACATCTCATCATCATCGCCGTCCTCATTCAAAATCGGTGGTGGTTGCTGTTTTTTCTTCCCTTTTTTTATTGATGCACCGTCCTTTTACTGTTCTATTGCGTGCATCAATATAACAATCAAGCAAAATAGAACCTCATCGTCATGAATAACTTTATCCATCCCAGTACATCACACATAACAAAACTCAAATTTTCTCTACCCTATGGGGTTAGAAGAAGGAGCCTAAACGAACATTCATTCTTTTATACAGTATTATGCTCAGCCTGTTAGGTTTCTACACACAAAACAATCAATTTACATTTTTATAGACTACGTGGGAACAAATCATTACTACTCAATTGAGTTATAGTACAGTAGGCCTACTACAGTTACAATCCCTTCAAGTACTGAACACCCTATTTGCGCAGCGTATAATAAGCCTATTCTATTTGTATAAATTGTGTAATCGTGCACAACCATTCATATAATATAATGATTATGCAAAGGTAACCTTACCTGCAGTATAATCGTGATTATACAAGTCCTCTTGAGGTGAGAATCAATTCGCGTTTCCCCAGCTGCTTGGCGGCTCACCAGTTTTCAAAACTAAAAATACCCAACTCCTGCCTCCTGTGACCTTTGACCTCCTTTCAAAGTACTATCTGGGTTGGACTGAAATATCATTCGATCCACCCGTATGATAATTTCCAGGGTGGGGCATGTTATTAATATGAATTCAAGCTACAAAATTCAACTGTAATATACCATATACGCATGTAACATAACACTCAGAAATATCACTGAAATCCCAAACTGTTCTAAACGGTAACAACTCAAAATATTTATTAATTATTTATTGATTTTATATATAAAACTGTAGTGAAAATAGAACCAAAACATCAAACGTTGTAACTTGGCTAACCTGCCAAAAAAAACAAAAAAAAAACATACAACTTCGATCATATAAGACCAAATCGAAACACCAATATATCCCAAAAAACCTGGGGAGAATCATGAAAACTGGGAACAACCATCATATCAGATGAGTGGGTGGGAATTGATTCTCACCTCAAGAGGACTAGTATAATCACGACTATACTGCAGGTAAGTGTACATTTGCATAATCATTAATTATACTGCGTCCTCTCTCGGTTTCGAATCAATTCGCCATTTTGAAGCTGACTTCAATAAGGTTTCACCTAACATTGAACTTGCTGATGGTCTGCGATAAAATTTATTAAAAGTCGATTGAGATGACCATCCAGCAGCCTCCATAATATATCGCATCATTACCCCCAGCCTCTGCGAATGAGCTTTAAACTGTTGTGTATCCACCCCTGCTTGACTTAACATATCACAAATCCATCTACCAACAGTAGATGAAACTACCTTCTTGTGCGGTTTTAAATAACTCACTAACAGTTGAGTCTCAGTTCCTCGGATGACCCTAGTACATTCTAAATACCTTGTCACCGCAGTAACTGGGCACAGACGTTTATCCTCAAACGCTTCTATCACGACCAACCTTATGTTATAATTGGGCCTACTCTGCTTAGCCAGTTTAGACGGTATAAGTTTGAAAGAATTTCTGAAATATTAAGACGTGAAATATCTAAATGCACTTATGTTGACACTCTACCTACTGTAACTAAACTGAGCAATAAAACCATCTTTAGCGTTAACATTTTCAATGAGAGAGATTCCCAATTTGGTAGACTTAAAAGAAAAGACAGTACCGGTTCTATTTCCCATGTAACTAAATATTTAGGCTTGGGGGGGGGGGGTCCGATTAAACAACATACATCAGCATTTTGACCAATCGCACACATATTAATCGGATCATGATAACGTGAGATGGCAGACCTGTATACACTAATAGTTCTGTTGCCCCGACCTTGCTTTTCACACTCAACTAAAATAAAACTCAAAGGTGCTGAAACCGGAGAAACATTCCGTTGATGACACCAGCCACTCCACTTATTAAAGGCGGACTGGTATTGTCTGTTGGTGGCTCCTCTACAGCTCTCGACCATGACATCTGCAACTTCTCGTGAACACCCCTTACTCGCATAATGTTGCCTGAGACAAGCCAGACCGCTGAATGTAGTGTCCCGGTTAGCGATTCGAATAACGAATCGAATGTGTCTGTGTTAATATCTTCCGTCCTAGAGGTAGTAATTGTGGCTGTGCTATGGCCATTTGAACGGACATTGGGTACCCAAGTTGATTCGTCCATGTTGGAGCGACAACCAGAGCTTCTCATTTGTCCACCTTCAACTTCCTTAGCACTTGTGCCAAGAGACAAAACGGTGGAAACACATAACTTTGTTCTTTCGTCCATGCAATCAAGAATGCATTGATTGCTATAGCCCCTGGGTCCACCAGGTGGTAGTTGATGGTTTATCCGGGATGCAAACAAATCCACTGTGGGATGAAACTCCAATTTCGTGCAAATTAGAGAGAATATCATTGGGTCTAGCATCCATTCAAATCTGTCACAAAAACCCTGGACGGAAAGTCCGCTATCTGATTGTCTTTCCAAGGTACATTATGTGTTGTGAGCACGATCTTCCTGTCCATGCACCATTTCCACATTTGGAGAGCAAGTCTGGACAGGCGGTCTACGTGGGTACCCCCCTTTTGTGCTTGATATAAGCATTATATGAGAGTTCTGCAAGTTCTTTGCAAAGGTCTTCAGAGCTAGGAACGAGGCTAACAATTCCAGGTGGTTTATATGATTCAAGCTATCCTCTACGGTTCACCTTTCCCCCGTCTTGTCCCCTTTGCAATGGGCCCTCCCCCCCACAACCTTGCAGGGATCCATCCGTCGTGATAATTAACTGGAGGTGAGGTGACAGAATTGGTTTCCCATTCCACTGATGTAGACAATGAGCCCACCATTTCAACTCTTGGGTACTTTTTTCGGACAGTACACTGCGCTCTGATATGAAGGATTTACCCGAATTTCCTGAATTAAAGACGTCTGTAGTGCCCTGTAAAACACTGGTGCGTGCACTACATCTTCTGCTGTGGCAGTCTTTTTTCCAAGAAGACTTGCCGGTGATTTTTCCAAAAGGACAACGCTTGTAATTTTTTTTTACTTTGTCCTCTGGAAGACTTAATTCTATTGTTTGAGAGTTGACTATGTGGCCTAGGAATCTGATTTTTTGTGTTGGAATCAGCTGCGACTTTTCCCAATTTACCAACAAGCCTAGTTCCTGAAATAAACCCAACACAAGTTGTTTTTGATTTTGACATTCCTGCGCTGAATGACTTATTAGAAGAAGATCGTCGAGGTACAAGACAATTTTAATAATAATAATAATAAGAATAACAATAATAATAATAATAATAATAATAATAATAATAATAATAATAATAATAATAATAATAATAATAATAATAATAATAATAATAATAATAATAATACCGTATTTATATAGCGCCTAACAGATCACAGATCCCTCTAGGCGCTTTACATTTCTTAATTTAATTTATGGTAAAAAGAAACTATCCCCCGCGGGATACCAACACGGTATTTCAGAAGGTTTCGGGGCCAGGAATTTCAAGATCGACCTTAACTATGTTCACTTAACTACAATATGGTAAAAACTATCCCCCGCCGGACACCAACCCGGTATTTCTGAGTCAAAGTTTCGGGGCCGGGATTTCAAGATAGGGCACTTAAATAATAATAACAATATAATAATCACAATAATAACAAATTTAATTAAGAAACAGGTGTGCTTTCAGTTGTGACTTGAATATACTGACTGATGGAGAACATTTAATATGGATCGGGAAATTATTCCAGACTGCCGGTGCTGCCGTAGCAAAAGATCTTCTTCCATACGCAGTGGATGTTTTAGGTACTGACAGTAGGTAGTTATCAGCTGACCTCAGCGAACGCGA